GAAAGAAAGAAAGAAAGAAAGAAAGAAAGAAAGAAAGAAAGAAAGAAAAGAAAGAAAGAAAGAAAGAAAGAAAGGTGGGACAGAAGGAGAAAGGAAGGAAGGAAAGGAAGGACGAGTAAGAAAGGAAGAAAGAAGGAAGGAGGGACAGAGGGAGTAAGGAAGGAAGAAGGGTGGGACAGAGGGAGAAAGGAAGGAAGGAAGGAAGGAAGAAAGAAAGAAAAAGAAAGAAAGAATTATAGGAATTAAGGAATAGTTTCTCTAAAGTCATGGACTGGCAATTTGCAAAGTTGAAGATAGTGTAGGAAGTTATCACCCACCCCTCTCCTAGAAAAATAAAATATCCTAGGAAATATTAAAAAGGCAGAATATTTCCCCTAAAAAGAGTAGAAACTCAGAAGCAGAAACTCACCAAAGCGGCAGAAACTCAGCCTCTCCCCCCACCTTGGCTAATGGGCCATTACTCTGGCCTGGCCAGCCTATTTTACATAACAAAAATCTACTCCAGGTAGAGCTATAATAGGAATTGCCCAAAGCCCTTTCATTACATCATCATCCAGCAAGACTCAACCAAGCCTGGGACTCAGGACAGCCTACAGAGTTGCCCCTGCGTGGCCCCATGGGAGTCTGACAACCAATCAGAATACAAGCTCAAATTCAAATCCCAGCAGAGGGTATATAACTAAGGGTCTCTCAGCATCTTGGCCCTTCTTTTCCTTCACCCAACATCTTGAAGCATGTGATCGTCTTTTTCACTCAGGAGCTCCAAGGCATGTGATCCTGTCCACCATTAAACCATCTTTCCAAACAGCCTCCATGTTTCTTCCCCACTTGGAACTGAACCTAGAAGGATAATTTCTTCCAACAATAGTTAAGAGGATGACTAGCTGAGAGGTGGATGGACCCAACAGTGATGGGGGCACTGTTGCAATATCTGAAAAAAAATGGATTGCAGGACAGATCCTCCTGCAGAAAATCTGTTCTTGTGATTGCTGAGCATCAACACTGATTTAATAGCATAAAATCAAATTGCAGGCTTTTCCTCTATTATTACAGGAAGCAGTCAAACTGCTTCCTTAACTACACGATTAGCCAATTGCAAAGTTTAAATAAATACCAGTGACTCTTAACCATAATCCTGACAGCCTGAGGCCACTTTGCTCAGAAAGAATACGTTAATAACTAAAAAGATATCTGCCAATATATAAACCAGGAAGGAACTAGGAAAGAAATTAAAACATCCTGGGGAACATTATCAGGTAGCAGCTGGCCAGCCCTGAACTCAAACAACTGAGCAAATTTGAACCGGGATGAAAAAAACATCACAAAATCCTTGGGAAATTGCAAAACTGCTGAGATGAGGTGATTAAATGTCTTTGTTGTTATAGAAATGGCTAGTAGAGGTAGTTCTTGACCTAGTTTGTTTAGTGATAATTTGAAGCAGGGGTGGGATTCAAATTTATTAGCAACTGGCTCTGTGGGTGTGGCCTAATTTGTGGGTGTGGCTTGGTGATCATGTGACTGGCTGGGCATGGCTTGTATGAAAATATAAATATTTATGTAAATATTGAATTTTTTATTAAAAAAAGAGCAACTTTTACCCAAAATCAGGCAAAGTAGGCAGGTAGATTGAGTTGCTCACAGAATCACAAATTCATTCAGAGATCTATCTTTCTGCAGTCAGCTACCTGAGTCTGTCACATAAAATTTGCTTGCAAGCAAACTCATATAATTTGCTAGAAAGCAAACTCACAAAATTAATTCACAACACACTATGTATGTAAATATTGAATTTTTTATTTAAGAAGAGCAACTTTTACCCAAAAGCAGGCAAAGCAGGCAGGCAGATTGAGTTGCCCACAGAATCACAGATTCACTTAGAGATCTATCTACCTGCCATCGGCTACCTGAGTCTGCACTGAAAAATAGAAGCTTTGGTCCTAAGGAAGGTTCAGCTCTGCTTTTAGATTAGCTAGAAAGCAAGAAATCCAATGATTTCCTGCTTTCTAGCTAATCTAAATCTCCCGGCACAGCATAACAGCTGATGGTCAGGGGGAAAAATGGAAGCAGGCAAATTTGATGGCTCACATGCCAGGTAAGGAGTGAGTGGACAGGGCGCGGTGGGCTCAGCCAGTGGTGCGATTTGCTGGTTCTCTGGCAGGTAGAATCCCACCCCTGGTGAGAGTGCGTTTTACGCGCATGTGTAGACCATTTCCAAAAAACCTCAGCGGTTCCGCCTGGACAGCTGACAAGCACTGCGCATGGGTGAGCAGCATTTCAAACTCCTCCTCTTTCCTGCTTTTTCAACCTCAGCTGTGCCGCAAATACCAGCTGAGGTTGAAAAAACAGGAAATAAAGAACAGCCAAGAGCCCAGGCGAACAGGCGGGCCAAACAGAGCAGCAGACACCGAACCAGTTTGGTGTCTGCTGCTCTTCAGGGCTACCGGTTCTATAGAACCAGGCTGAACCGGTAGCATCTCACCCCTGGTTTGAAGTTACAATTGACACTGAATAAAGCATCGTATGACAGGTTTTTCACACTTAGAACACTATTGCAGCATCTTCATGGTTACATGGTCAAAATTCAGGCGCTTGGCATATGATTCATAGTTTTGATGGTCACAGTGTCCCTGGGGTCACAGGATGCCCTTTTGCAAGCTTCTTTTATGGTGTTACCCTAAAAGAAGAGCTGACCTGGGGTGCTCACATTGCAGCCCTGGTCAAAAGGGCTCAGCAGAGATTATACTACCCTAGACTTCTCAGGAAACAACAACTGAATGAAAAACTGCTGGTGACCTTCTACCGCTGCACCATAGAGAGCATTTTAACATACTGCACCTCTGTATGGTTTGCCAATTGCACAGTGGCAGATCGGAAACAAAATTGACCATTTCCTAATATATTTGATTGCCTATTTGTACTCTATGACTATATTAAGTGTTGTATCTGATGATTCTTGATGAATGTATCTTTTCTTTTTATGTATACTGAGACCACATGCACCAAGATAAATTCCTTGTGGGTCTAATCACACTTGGCCAATAAAGAATTCATTCATTCATTCATTCATTCATTCATTCATCATTAGGATAGTACTCAAGAGGGTTAATGTCATTGCCCAGAAGATCATTGGTTGCCCTCTCCCCTCTTTGGAAGAGCTTCATAGCTCCCGCTGCCTTAAGGAAGTTCAAAACATCCTTAAAGATCCATCTCATCCTGGGAACCCTTTTTTTGAACTATTACCATCCGGCAGCCGGTACAGGATAATAATAAAAACAAGGACAAATAGGCTGAAAAACAGCTTTTATCCCAGGGCAGTAACTACATTGAATTCTACTGTACAGGGCAACATTAATCCAATATCAAGCATTTTCAATTCAATGTACAGAAGGTGAAGGATGCGTGTTTGTGTTTATTTTCATAGTTATAATGTACAATGAAGATGGTATTTAATTTAATTGTACGAGGTGCAATGACAATAAAGTAAACTAAAGTAAACAAGCAAAGTCAATCAGGAAGACAGTTACACTTAACAGCTGATTTCCTAACTTAACAAGTGCAGTGATTCACTTCACAACTGTGGCAAGAAAAGTCATAAAATGAGGCAAAACTCATTTAACAAATGTTTCACTTAGTAACGGAAATTTTGGGCTCAAC